TAAGGCCCATGGGCCAGATGCCGCCCAATTGCCTTCTCAATCTGTCCCACAGGTGGTCGGGGAATCAGCGTGTTTTTACATGAGTAGAATGTGCCCTTTTATTTAAAAGGCATCTCTGGGTTATTTGTGGAGCCTGCCTGGTGTTTTTACATGAGTAGAATGTGTGCTTATATTTAAAATGCATCTCTGGGCTATTTGTGGGGCATAGGAATTTGTTCATTCCCCCCCCCCCCCAAAAAAATATAGTCTGGCCCAGCATATGGTCTGAGGGATGGTGGACCAGCCCACGACTGAAAAAGCTTGCTATCCAGGTGACTGACACTCCAAGCATATCTATATTATTTTGATTAGGTCTAGAGTCTCCTCCAGCACCATGATGCTTTTGAATTATGGTGCTGGAGGAGACTCTTGAGAGTCCCATGGACTGCAAGAAGATCAAACCTATCCATTCTGAAGGAAATCAGCCCTGAGTGCTCGCTGGAAGGAGAGATCGTGAAACTGAGGCTCCAATACTTTGGCCACCTCATGAGAAGAGAAGACTCCCTGGAAAAGACCCTGATGTTGGGAAAGATGGAGGGCACAAGGAGAAGGGGACAGAGGAGGAGATGGTTGGATAGTGTTCTCGAAGCTACCAGCATGACTTTGACCAAACTGCGGGAGGCAGTGGAAGACAGAAGTGCCTGGCATGCTCTGGTCCATGGGGTCACGAAGAGTTGGAGACGACTAAACGACTAAACAACAACAACAGAATTTCCAAAACTATGTAGATTGAGCAGATAGGTCTCTTTGTTGTTGTTATTGTTTGGCTAAAATTGATATTGGTGGGACCTATGTAACCCAAGCCTTCCAAATATCAAATGACCACCAATGGGTGGGGTAGGAGGGGAATGCGCTCAGACCTACCTTTTGGAAACAGTAAATTCAGAACTTTCCCCAACTAATTAGTTAGCTAAATTCAGATCTTCTCTGCATCAACTGTAAGCAAGAAAGACGCACCAAATAAGATCTCTAGCACATGTTTCATAATTGAAATTAAAAAAAAAACAAGATGGTCTGAAAACAGAGATTGATTAGGGTTACCCCACTCCCTGATCTTGCGTAATTGTTTCTAAGATTAGCAACACAGGTGCTGGCAAGGAACTGACAAAAGTAGGGAGGAGGTGATACAGAACTCTGTTAGTCAATTCCGACATTCGCTGGTTTCTTTTTGTAGTTATTTTCATCCTGGTGTATTAAGCAGAAATCCTTTGGATTCCTGCTCCTCAGCCCTGTCAAAATTACCTTATGTCTGTTATAGGGACTAGATTGTGTGCTCCTGTTCTGTTTATCATTTTATCTCTTGTTTGTGTACACATCTAGTTGGGTCATTTTGCATAAGATGGTTGTTTTCATTTGGGTTTTCTTCCTGCATATATGCACCATGTTGCTTTCAGCTGTTTTCTGTTATATTTTGGGGGGAGTGTGGTTGATCATGTGTGTGCTTTGCTGCTTCCCTTGTTATTCAAACTGTCCATGGATGTTCTGCATCCCCCACCAAATGCTTTCTTTGTTATAAATTTACCTGTTCTGTAACAAAAGTAGAGGTGTTTTCTGTTCTGCTGCAAGCACCGACCACAGCAGTAAGGAAGGCATAGCTTAACTGCCTTGTACAGGTCTCTAATGAATGTTATGTGAGAACAGAGCTCACATTGAGACCTATATAGGAGCAGAAGTTCTCATCCCAATAGCAAGTATCATCTACATCAGGCTTCCTCAACCTCAGTCCTCCAGATGTTTTTGGCCTACAACTCCCATGATCCCAAGCTAGCAGGACCAGTGGTTAGGGATGATGGGAATTGTAGTCTCAAAACATCTGGAGGGCTGAGGCTGAGGAAGCCTGATCTACATGAAAATGTTCAACTTCAGTTAACGCCATGAATAGGAGAGACTCTGATTGTATTGGGGCTTCTGCAATGGAGTCCTCTGAGTCAGAGGGTAGCAAGGCAACATTCTTGGGTTGGAGCTGTATTGGCACCTTGTAGAAGTGCAAGGATCTCACATTACCATCCTTTGCCATCATCTGACTCAGAAGACCCCATTGCAGAAGATCATGATCGTTTCTTGCAAATACTGGAATCTGCTTACCATGCTCCGGATCATGGATCGTCATCATTGCAGAAGATCACAGTCGTGTCCAATTCTGGGCACCACAATTTAAGAAGGATGTTGACAAGTTGGAAGGTGTGCAAAGGAGGGCAACCAAGATGACCAAGGGTCTGGAAACTGAACCTTACGAGGAGAGCTTGAAGGAGCTTTGTATGTTTAGCCAGCAAAAGAGAGACTGAGAGGAGATATGATAGCCACCTCAAATTTCTAAAAAGGCTGTCACATAGAAGAGGGAACAAGCTTGTTCTCGGCTGCTCTGGAGGGTAGGACTCGAACCAGTGGCTTCCAGTTACAAGAAAGGAGATTCCGACTAAACATCAGGAAACCTTTCTGACTGTAAGAGCTGTTCGCCAGTGGAACAGACTCCTACAAGAGGTGATGGACTCTCCTTCCTTGGAGGTTTTTCAGCAGAGGTTGGATGGCCATCTGTCATGGATGCTTTAGCTGAGATTCCTGCATTGCAGGGGGTTGGACTAGATGACCCGTGGATCCCTTCCAACTCTAAGATTCTATTATTCTAATATCTGCCCACCACCATGCAGAAGATCACAATCTAATTTCTGCCCACCCCTGCACTAGAGTATCTAGTATATTCCAGGCACAACGGCACCAGTTGTGATCCCACCCCCTTACCAAACTTCTGCTGGAATATGCACAAAGGGATCTGTGTGGGCAGGATCAACAAGCTCCATCGATGGAAACTTTTTGCATGAGGATCAACTCCATCATTTTCTTTTCATACATGACACTAGAAGAACACCAAAAAGAAGTACAGTTTCCTTACGCTTACCTCTCCCATCCTCGTTGCAACATGTGAAGCTACCGTACATTCCCTGTGTGCTTATGACCCCCTGAAAAATGATGTGCAGCTTGATCCTATACAGACTAGTTGTGCTGGTCCTGTGGGTTAACCGAGAGGCGAGGTCCGAGTCCAGTCCGAGGTAGAAGGTGCAATATGGAGGCAGCCCATAGAAGCTGAAGCTAGGCGCAGGACAGGGAGTCAGGAGAGGTCAGGAACGCAGGACAGGGTTCAGGCAGGAACTGGCAACCTACAAAGTTGCTCCTGCAACCTGGGACTGGGGCTGACTGGCTTTTATCTGCCCCGAGGCATAGGGTGGCCCTGATCCTCAGGTGACTCGCCTCTCCTGGCCTGGAGGTGAGCACTCCTCCTGCGGGAACTTAGTTCCCTCCGCCTCTCTGCCCTGAGTCTCTGCAGCCCAGGAGAGGCTGGAGGGTTACTGGACCCAGAGGTAACCTCAGCTTCCTCTAACGGGGCTGAGAGTGGAGCACCTGCAGGCAATGGGTCCTCCCTCACCTCAGGAGCCAGAGGAGACTCAGCTGGTGCTTGCACCTGAGGATCCAGCACAGGTGAAGACCCTTCAGGCTCATGCCCCAGCCCCGGCTCAGCTGGTTCTGGAGGCAAGGGAATCCTGTGCAGGCTGGGATTCCTCAGGTTCAGCATCTGAGTCTGAATCCCAGGCCATCACACTAGTGTTCTTCAGCTTTGTATCATTACTGACCATTGACTGGCTAAGCTGGCTGTGCATGATGGGAGTTGTAGTCCAACAAGTTTGAAGAACACTGCTATGGACCAGCTTTTACTGCACCGACATAAAACTTTGCCTAATCTGGCAAATCTGGCTGTGTCCTATTTGCCTAGCCAATCAATGCCTGGGGGAAAACACTTGCCCCTCCCACTGCCTGTCTACTGCCAATCACCCCATCTTAAAACACATTTGTGTATAACATGCAGTTGGCCCATAATTGCTGGTTATCAATTTGTTTTGCATGCTTTTCAAACCATTTAATATTACACTATGTTTAATTTTCTCTGCTTGCCTACCCTATTTCCCTTCGCCTTTGCTTATAAATGTGACTCTTAATCAGCATTTTTATGGTTTATTTTTTATGGATTATTTATTTTTTGCTTTTATGGTGCAGCAGGGGAAAATCTGTTTGTTTATTTATTTATTTGCGTCTGTGGAGTGAAGCCATATGAAAAGCCGTGCTTTATTTAAGGAAATGAAATGAGAAAGAAATTATTTATTGAAACGTAGTTTATGATTAAAGCGATATTTCATTTGTCAATGTGTGAACACTGGCATTAATGGAAGTCATAACAGCAGAGATGGCCTTCATAATTTTCAGGCATCTTCTTGCTAAATCATTATGAAACTTACATGCTGCACATTTTATAAAACGTATTGTCTGCTGATTCTAGGCCATTCTGCAGGTGGCACTGTTCCCATGGGTTTAAGAACATCAAATACTTCTGTACATTATTTGACACTGGATTTTATATATTACAGATTTTCATGCTTCCAATATTATGGGTATTTCCCTCCCTAATCGTAACCATCCTGAATTTCTTTACATCATCAAATGTGGGACAATTTCATCAAATCCTATAACATTGTGGTTGAAATTATTATTATTATTATTATTATTATTATTATTATTTGGTGTGACTTTGTTGTGCGACAGGGGAACACTATTATTATCATTAAAGATCTCTTTTCTAATAACCCTTTATTTTTATGCAATAAAAAGCCAGAGACTAATATGAAGTTCTACTGGTAAATGCATACCTTGACATTGTAATGAGCTGCGAAGCAAAGGCACATTAAGATATGATCCAATTTTCCTTAATACAATAATATAAGCACTGTAAAAACATAGGGGCCATTATAATACTTTGCCATTAAAAGACTGAATTTTATCTATTTCAATGAGTTTAATAACTTGGTTGTGGTCTATTTTTCCTTTTCTTTCCCAGCTTGTCAGCATCTTTCATATATCTTTGACACAACTTTCAGTGGTGATTTCAAATAAAACAATTATTTCAGGAACAGTTATAGAAATTATAGTGCATTTTATTTCTCCCTATTTGCTCTCTGGCCACTCATCATCATTCAGCCACCAAAGGTTCTGAGCCTTCCTCTTTTGGTGGTCCCCCAGCTGGTTCCTCTCACCATTCCTCTTCATCTTCTTTTTTGACGATCACTCATAGCCGAGTAAGTGGGTCTTCCATAAACACAGTTTTAACAGTGAGTCCATAAGTGACTGTGGAGGCCAATTCTGCATCCACATGTCCTTCCACAGTGGGCTCATAGGTTTCTGGGCGGGCGTTGTTCATGGTGAGGGTTAGCCAAGTGTGCCTTTCTCTTAGCACATTTCTCCCTTGCATCCTGAGTTCGAGCATCTTCAAAGACCATGACACCTTTGGTAAAGGCTTTTCTCCAACTGGAGTGCTCACAGGCCAGTGTTTCCCAGTTGTCGGTGTTTATGCTACATTTTTTTAGATTTGCCTTGAGAGAGCCTATAAACCTCTTTGGTGGACCACTGGCATTACGCTTCCCCTTTTTAAGTTGGGAATAGAGTAGTTGCTTTGGAAGACGACAATCAGACATCCGCACAACATGACCAGTCCAACAAAGTTGATGTTGAAGAAGCATTGCTTCCCCAGCAGGTTCCTCCCACTATTCCTCTGTGTCTAACCAACCCACGATACACACACATATCTAAACAATATCCCTATGAATGCAAAGCTCCTCTCCTTAGTGAGATACATAGCAAAGTATATTGTTAAGAGCCAAAGCATGCGTCTTTTTTATAGTTATACAAAGGTTATTTTAAACATTGTTTTCATTTCATTCTATATCATTTCCCAGTAGGCTTCAACCTTACTACAAGCCCACCACATATGATAAAATCTTATTTCTCTTTACATTTCCAACACTTGTTTGATTTAGATTTATACATTTTTGCCAATTTACTCAGTGTTAGATACCACTGATGTATCATTTCCCTATAATTTTCTTATAGACCATAAGATTTTAACCAATTTTTTAAAAAAATCTGCCTGGATGCTACTTTCGAAGGGCGAATCTTGGATATGTCCTGGAAATTCCAGATGTACGGCATCCCTATAATGTTGTCGAACTTTACCAGCTGAGATTCAGCAGGCATCCTTACTATTGATTTCCAGGCATCTCTTGGAAACCTTTTTATTCTGACAGGCCTAGGTAACTGTTTACATTCTTTTAATTAATCAGTCATTTTAATTTGATTGTTTTGTACTGTTTTTAAAGGTCTCCATCTTTTATTGTAACTTTTTATTTTATTTTATTAGCAAAAACATGTAAAAATACATAGTTAACAAATACATACCTTAAGATCTTGTATGAAAAGTAAAGAACAGAAAAGAACACCTACATGTCAATGTACATAAAAAGAAAAAAAGAAAAAAGGATAATATAGTAATTAAGAAAACTATAACAGTATAATAACTTAAACTCTATACCTATCACCTAATAGATTTTATTTAAAATGATTCTACCCTGTGGTAGCTTTTCTTATATATTGTATATTGTAACCTTCAGTATTGGTTGAATCTCTTTACGTTTTTTTTATTATTGTAGACTTCCTTCTGCCTCGTTACGGTTGCAGTTCACATTAACCTACCATTTCCCCCTGTATTCGTTGTTTTATCCTCATCTTGGTATGAGGAAGCGATATATCTCTGTTTGCGGAATTATTCAAAACACAACCAAGTTTTAATATTGGAACCTTGTTCCATTAAGTAATTATTAAAACATTCCCATTCTTTTTTGACTTTGTCTGCTGATTTATTTCTTATTGATTCCGTCATTTTCGCAAGTTCCAAGTACTCACATACTTTTAACTGCCCTTCCTCTCTTGATGGAGTAAGTTCACTTTTCCAGTACTTAGCTACTAGAACTCTAGCTGTAAGTTGGCGGTATAGAAATAGATTATACATCAATAAAATAAGGAGCATGTGCTATCTGTTGTTTCCATAAAACCATGCCAATCTACATCAACCAAATGGCACTTTGAAGATAATTTTAGGGAGGCATTTTTGGTATTGCCTACCAAATTTGCTAGCTATTTTCAGAAATGTAGTTCTAATGTCTCCCATGTTTGCCTTTGCAAGCCAGATGTGTCTCCCTCACTGCTGTACCCATCTGTGACATCAGAGCAACTAAGGCAACAAGGACAAGGGAGGCGATAATAATACCGATTGTGACATCAGAGCAGATCACAGCCATTCCCTTTGATACTTCCATTGCAGCCTGAGGGCTGTAAACATGATAAATATGCAGTTTGTTCATCCTTTTCAAGCCTACAGCAAATCATATGTGTTTTAAAATTATGATTTCGTTTTCCCCTATTTGGCTGAAATTGCATCACTGTGTGAGAGCATAGATTTGGATAGAATCCACACTAATTGAATCTCAATCAGCACTTCAAACCACTTGTCAGGCATTTCAAGAATGTGAGGACATGCAGGGCACATGGAAATAATCACTGAAGAGTCTCTGAATGGAAATGGTAGAATATATATGCTGATTCTAGGGACCCCATTCAGATCTGAACAATCAGAAAGGCTTTGAAGAGGAGGAGCAGGCAAAATGTGCCTGCAACTTTGCATGCCACAACTCCAATTCACTTGGGCTCTTTGAAAATATTCCTGTTAAGGTTCTGTTGATTTTCACGTGCTTCCAGGAGTCAGGAAGATGCAGTTTGAAATATGTACTTTGGAGGAAGGTTCTTCTACTGCTTATCATAGCTACAGTCCTTTAATTGATTTCATTGGCATGTGAGACTTACTTTCTGAATAACCGTGCATAGGATAGGACGGGGAGAATCCATCCATTTTGGTTTCTCTTGGTTTCTCATTTTGTGTGTTCAGACCTAGAAACCTCCCCCCTAAATAAATTCACACTTGACTCAAATTTTGGTTTTGGTTTAGGCCACAACTTTATTGATTACAGAAAGTGACGGGTTGCATAGGCTCTGGTTCGACTAGCTCCCTGCCATGCAGATAGCGCTGACCCAGGGTTCCAGCATAGGTCAGCCAAGGGTGAACACCTGGATAAGTGGAAAGCCGGGAATGGGCTAACTCTGCCACCCAAATGTCCCCCTGGACTCAGGCACGGGTACAATCCGCTCTCAGGGGTTGACCAAACCATCGAGTCCCTGGATTCCTTTAACGGAATACCCTTCGCATAGGCATGGCGAGAGCATTCTCCCATCCCTATCACCTGAAGCAGAGTCTATCCGCAGCCTTACCAGTTGTGACGATTTGCTATGCGGCAGGCGAAACCCAAATGGCAACAGCCAATCAGCCAAGTGGGAAAAATTCCTGCCGTGCTCTTGTCCCAACGACAGACGACACACAACGGCATAGCAAGGTCAAGCGCAAAGCCCTAAAAGTAGGGAGAGGTGGGCGGGTGTTCCAAATGCACGCGCTGAAAGAGGAAGCTCTGGGTCACGTGCATGGGCATATATAGGTCCCTCAAACCATTTAGACTGTGTCCCATTGGCCAGATTGCACCCAGCTTCGAGGGACCTACCAATCGGGTGTTGTGGCTGACCAATGTACCCACCCACAACACAGGGTGTTGGTTGTCCTGGTCTCACTGCAATACGTGCCCGCTTTAAGGGAGGACCCGATTTCCCAATCTTAACTTGAGATCCCCACATTTCCATATCAGTTTGTGATGCTTCTTTTTTAAATGTTTGCATATTGTTTTTGAACATGTGAGTTAGGCAGGCTCACTTTCCAGTGTGGATCAAATCAAATTTCTTCTCCATCCCTGACACAGAATTACAGCAAAGATGGGGAACCTGTGGCCCTCTCAATGTTGCTGAACTACAACTCAGTCATCCTGCTAGCTTGAGATGATAATGATGATGATTATTTACTTATTGAATTTATACACCGCCCTATACCCAGAGGTCTTAGGGCAGTTCACAGAAAAGATCACAATATTTAAAATAAAAACAATAACAATAACCACCACTCCCCCCAAAAGAACCACATTTTAAAAGGGGATAGGATATTGATCAGGTCAACCAAAGGCTTGGTTAAAAAGGAACGTTTTCGCCTGGTGCCTAAAGGTGTATAATGAAGGTGTCCGCAAATTTCTCTGGGGAGAGCATTCCACAGATGGGGAGCCACTGCAGAGAAGGCCCATTCTCGTATTGCCACCCTCCAAACCTCTCCAGGAGGAGGCACATGAAAGAGGACTTCAGAAGATGATCTCAGGGTCCGGGTAGGTTCATATGGAAAGAGGCAGTCCTTGAGGTATTGCGGTCCTGAGCTGTGGTCCTGATGGGAGTTGGAGGACCACAGCTTCCCCATTTGTGGGTCCAAATTGTTGCTGTCGACTCCCTTGGAATTAAAAGAAATAATCGAGTCAAGGAATATCTGAAACAAGACCTTGCTGTTGCAATTGCATACGTTGCATTTTGACTCTTGTTGACCAGATGCTATCATTAGCTGCTTTGCTAGTTTCTTGGACATGTACATTTCATTTTTCCATGACTGGACAATTGTCTTCTGTTAGGGTTACCTAAAAAGGTTACAGAAAGTTATCTGTGCGAGGGGGCATTCCTACGGCATGATCCACAAGGATGAGCAGCTTAGGATGCAGCAGATCTCTGGCTTACCTGGCTGATTCCTGTTTCTGTCAGGGTCAATCAACTTTAAGTCACCAACCCTGGCTCAGCCGAAGATACGCCGGTATAACTTGCTCTTTCCAGCTCTTTCCAGGTCTCAGTCAACTGAGCCAAATCTCGCTGAGCCAAGGCCAATGTAAGTCTACCAGCTCCACCTGGTACACAGGCTGAGACCCTGCCTGCCACAGACTGTCTCACCAGAGTGGTGCATGCTCTAGTTATATCTCACTTGGATTACTGTAATGCGCTCTACGTGGGGCTTCCTTTGAAGGTGACCTGGAAATTACAACTAATCCAGAATGTGGCATCTAGAATGGTGTCTAGGAGTGGGCGCCAAGACAAGTGCTTTTTTCTGAGGGGACACAGAAACATTTTGTAAATCTAAGTTTGGCCTCATTGAGGGGCAGTATTCAATATGAGTAGTAAAATGAGAGTACCCCTAAACTTTTTTTTTTAGAAAAAAAACACTACCGGCCAAGACCATATAACACTGGTCCTGAAAGACCTACGTTGGCTCCTGGTACTTTTCCGAGCACAATTCAAAGTGTTGGTGCTGACCTTTAAAGTCCTAAACCAGGCTTCCTCAGCCCTCCAGATGTTTTTGGTCTACAACTCCCATGATCCCTAGCTACCAGGACCAGTGGTCAGGGATGATGGGAATTTTAGTCTCAAAACATCTGGAGGGCTGAGGTGGAGGAAGCCTGTCCTAAACAAAGGAGAGTTTCCACCCCCATCGTTCAGCCCAGACACTAAGGTCCAAGGGCCTTCTGGCGGTTCCCTCATTGTGAGAAGTGAGGTTACATGGCAAACCAGGCACAGGGCCTTCTTGGTAGTGGCGCCTGCCCTGTGGAATGCCCTCCCATCAGATGTCAAGGCAATAAACAACTACCTGACTTTTAGAAGACATCTGAAGGCAGCCCTGATTAGGGAAGTTTTTAATGTTTGATGTTTTATTGTGTTTTTAATATTCTGTTGGGAGACACCCAGAGTGGCCGTGGAAGCCCAGCCACATGGGTGGGGTATAAATAAATAAATAAATAAATATTCCTAAGAAGATATGTGGTGGGAGCATGGTAGGGAAGGGGTACCAGAGAAGGGGGATTTAGGCTGGATCCTAAGCTTATTCCGCTCAGTTACATGACCTGGCAACCTGGCATAGAATGCTATTTTGATGGCTTGTTTTTCCTCTGCCAGGCTTAGACACAGCGGCATCCCAGTTGGTGAATGGGGTTTGGATCTGGCATAAATTTCCACCCGCTTAAAGTTGAAGTGTAGAGTGGAAGAGCAGTATTCTACTGAATCTTTCCTCCATCTTCCACCTTCTTCCTCAAGTTGTCCAGCCCACTTTCCCCCTACAAGCCTGGATTCCAAAATACAGGGTTAGATATAAAGGAAAATCAGTGGGGAGAAGAAGGAAGCACCTCTTCCCTGTGTTATCTCTCCTGAAAATGCTTCCCTGTTTGGCATTTTGTATCCCATATGCTACCTATCTGCAATCCAACCCTTACTGATCTCGAGTCCTCAAAGTCACAAATCATCAATCCTGTGTAAGTAAAACTTGGCAAAAACTGACTCACAAAAGACTGTTGTGAGAACAAACAAGCTAAAGTTTGTGAAAGAAGTTCTGCTCATTAAAAAGGACTATAAAAACTTTTCATCCAATTGTGAGGCAGACTCCAATTACAGCGAAACAGGAGCTGAGAAAATATAACCAAGCCTGGATAATGTAGAGTTCTGAGCAGATGGATGAATGTGAATCACAGCAGGGAAAAGTTGTTTGACATTTTCCAAATTTTACCGTATTTCTCAGCTACCAGAGTTTAATGCCTTAAGAAGCCAGATGAAATTAAACAGTGGACTGCCAAGTAAATTACTGTTATCAATCATGATTTCAGATACTTGCTAGGCAAAAGGAAGAAACTGTATACTTTTTTTTTTATTTCACAGAGCTGATATTAAAAATGGAAATGAAAAGTATGTTCAATGTGGTGCAAAGTACATGTGTCACCAGATAGTGTTACCACATCATTTACTGGAATTATGGCATTTGCCATAGTTACCGGTACATGCTCCAGTATTTCTTGTTCATCATACAAAAAGCCTATTTCCTGCTTTCCATTTCTTGTCAATCACTCTCCCCATCTTGCTTTTTTTTTGGAGGGGGGGGAGAGAATTGGAATAGCTTACCTTTTTTTTACTGCTTACTGCTTTTGAATTATGGTGCTGGAGGAGACTCTTGAGAGTCCCATGGACTGCAAGAAGATCAAACCTCTCCATTGTTAAGGAAATCATCCCTGAGTGCTCACAGGAAGGACAGATCATGAAGCTGAGGCTCCAATACTTTGGCCACCTCATGAGAAGAGAAGACTCCCTGGAAAAGACCCTGATGTTGGGGAAAATGGAGGGCACAAGGAGAAGGGGACGACAGTGGACGAGATGGTTGGATAGTGTTCGCGAAGCTACCAGCATGAGTTTGACCAAA